TGATACAATTTGAAAGGGACCAGGGCTAATCACAAATTACGTCCCCATGGTAACTGAAATAAACACGAGTGGGCTACAAAATGGTGAGTTGACAACCTGGAAGGAGCGGAATACCTAGCCCTGGTCCTCACAAGTTCCTACTTCACGCCTCCTCGAGTCATATGATAACAAAAGACTACCAGCTGAAACATGGACACAGCTGGTTGGCGTAGCCTGGGCAATGTTGCCAGTCCGGCAATAGCAAAGTGAAGAGGTGCGACGCGAACACTGGCGCGGTAGCCATAGTACGGTGATAGAGGAAATGCTTCACCAAACCTGAGCGTCTGCTCACCATGGAGGTGCGGCTCAAAACGGCGTCTGTTCTCCATGTTAGGAGCGGCTGATCACCGTCCTAGTGCCAGCGTGGGACTCTAAACAGAGCTGTGCACGATGGTCCCCCGGCGAGACAGGGGGTTGGGGCAGGCCCAACAAGCCGCCCTGGAAAAAAACAAAGTTGCAAATACCGAAGAAAGAAATACGGATCGGAACAATCAGCACAGACCTACGCGACGAAATAAGGACTACGTTTGGAAACTCGGAACATGTAACTGCAAATCGCTCGGCTTCCCGGGTTGCGATAGGTTAATCTATGACGAACTTCAACCACGCAACTTCGAAGTCGTAGCACTGCAGGAACTTTGCTGGACGGGACAAAAGGTATGGAAAAGCGGGCATCGAGCGGCTACTTTCTACCAGAGCTGTGGCACCACCAACGAGCTGGGAACAGGCATTGTAGTGCTGGGTAAGATGCGCCAACGCGTGATTGGTTGGCAGCCGATCAACGCGAGGATGTGCAAGTTGAGGATTAAGGGCCGTTTCTTCAACTACAGCATCATCAACGTGCACTGCCCACACGAAGGGAGACCCGACGACGAGAAAGAAGCGTTCTATGCGCAGCTGGAGCAGGTGTACGACGGCTGTTCGCAACGGGACGTCAAAATCGTCATCGGCGACATGAACGCTCAGGTAGGACGGGAGGCAATGTATAGACCGGCAATCGGGCCAAACAGCCTGCATGCCGTATCGAACGACAACGGCCAACGATGCGTGAACTTTGCAGCCTCCCGGGGTATGGTAGTTCGAAGTACCTTTTTCCCCCGCAAGGATATCCACAAAGCCACCTGGAGATCACCTGACCAACACACAGAAAACCAAATCGATCACGTTCTAATCGACGGGAAATTCTTCTCCGACATTATCAACGTCCGCACGTACCGCAGTGCGAACATAGATTCGGACCACTACCTAGTTGCAGTATGTATGCGCTCAAAACTCTCGACGGTGCATAACACACGTCGAAGTCGAACGCCACGACCCAACATTGAGCAACTACGGGACACCGGAGTTGCCCAGGACTACGCGCAGCAGCTGGAAGTTGCACTACCCACGGAAGAGCAGCTTGGCGCAGCTTCTCTTGAAGATGGCTGGAGGGACATCCGTTCAGCCATAGGTAGTACTGCTGTAGCGGCACTAGGTACTGCAATCCCGGACCGAAGAAATGACTGGTTTGACGGCGAATGCAAACTGTTAGTAGAGGAGAAGAATGCAGCACGGGCGAGAATGCTGCAACACCGCACGAGATTGAATGTGGAGCGATACAGACAAGCGCGGAACAGACAAAACTCGGTTTTCCGAAGGAAGAAGCGTCAGCAGGAAGATCGAGATCGCGAGGCGATGGGAAATCTGTACCGCGTAAACGACACACGGAAGTTCTACGAGAAGCTAAATAGTTCGCGCAAAGGCTACGTGCCGCAAGCCGATATGTGCAAGGACTTGGACGGTAACCTTCTCACGAACGAGTGTGAGGTGATTGAGAGGTGGAAGCAGTACTATGACGAGCACCTCAACGGTGAAGCAGCAGAAAACGAAGGTGGCACGGCAACAGACCTTGGAGCACGCGCAGAAGACGACAGGCTACCGGCCCCTGATCTTCAAGAAGTTGAGGAGGAGATCGGTCGGCTGAAGAACAACAAAGCAACTGGTGTAGATCAACTACCAAGTGAGCTATTGAAATACGGTGGTGAAGCACTGGCTAGAGCGCTGCACTGGGTAATTGCCAAGATTTGGGAGGAGGAGATATTACCGGAGGAGTGGATGGAAGGTGTCGTATGCCCAATCTACAAAAAGGGCGACAAGTTGGATTGCTGCAACTACCGCGCGATCACACTGCTGAGCGCCGCCTACAAGGTACTCTCCCAAATTCTATGCCGCCGTCTGTCACCATATGCAAGAGAGTTCGTGGGGCAATACCAGGCGGGATTCATGGGTGCCCGCGCTACCACGGACCAAATTTTCGCGATTCGGCAGGTTCTGCAGAAATGCCGCGAATACAACGTGCCCACACATCATTTGTTCATCGATTTCAAATCCGCATACGACACAATCGATCGAGATCAGCTATGGCAGATTATGCACGAGTACGGATTTCCGGATAAACTGACGCGATTGGTCAAGGCGACGATGGATCGAGTGACGTGCGTTGTTCGAGTATCGGGGACACTCTCGAGTCCCTTTGAATCTCGAAGGGGGTTACGGCAGGGTGATGGACTTTCGTGTCTGCTGTTCAACATCGCGTTAGAAGGTGTGATCAGAAGAGCTGGGATAGACACGAGTGGCACGATATTCAGGAAGTCCATCCAGCTCCTTGGTTTCGCCGATGACATTGACATTATGGCACGGAACTTTGAGATGATGGCGGAAACGTACATCAGACTGAAGGCTGAAGCTAGACGGATTGGACTTGCCATCAACGCATCAAAGACAAAATATATGAAAGCAAGAGGTTCTAGGGAAGACAATGTTAGCCTCCCACCCCGAGTTCAGATTGACGGTGACGAAATCGAGGTGGTCGATGAGTTCGTGTATTTGGGCTCACTGGTGACCGCCGAAAATGATACCAGCAGAGAAATTCAAAGACGCATTATGGCAGGGAATCGTGCCTACTTTGGACTCCGGAGGACGCTCCGGTCGAATAAAATTCGCCGCCGCACGAAGTTGACTGTCTACAAGACGCTGATTAGACCGGTGGTCCTTTACGGCCACGAGACCTGGACTATGCTCGTGGAGGACCAACGCGCCCTTGGTGTTTTCGAACGGAAGGTGTTGCGTACCATCTACGGTGGAGTGCAGATGGATGACGGAACGTGGAGGAGGCGAATGAACCACGAATTGCACCAGCTGCTGGGAGAACCATCCATCGTCCACATTGCAAAAATTGGGCGACTACGGTGGGCTGGGCACGTCGTAAGAATGCCGCACGACGACCCAGTGAAAATGGTTCTAGAAAGCGACCCAACAGGAACAAGAAGAAGAGGCGCGCAGCGGGCAAGGTGGATCGACCAAGTAGAAGGTGACCTGCGGACCCTTCGCAGACTACGAGGCTGGCGAACTGTGGCCATGGATCGAGTAGAGTGGAGACGACTTCTTCGGACAGCAGAGGACAACGAGGCCTTAGCCTGATTGGTAAGGTAAGTGAACCGTGTCAACCTTTTAAAAATTTTAATCTTGATTTACAAATCAAGATGAATGTCTATGGGATCGAAAACAAATATCGTGGTGCTCAGAAAACAAAGTTCTTTCAGATGAATGTAGAAAAACCGGTATTTTTTTTCGAAATTAAACAACCAAATTAGGAATGTAAAACCTGTGAAAACCCGCATCGGGTACTTTTCTCCAGGGTGCATCTTGGACTGCCATCCTCTATTGGATTCTGCCTAAACCTGGGTTTAGGTTTCCAGGCGTCTGGGCCACTTCAAAAAAACATCAACTGGCTCTCAAATTCAACTTAAATTCCACCAGCTCCACTAACAAATGATATGATCAAAACAAATGCAGATAACTGGATTGTTTGGCACACATAGCAACGCACAGCTGGGATTGAATTAATGATTCAATCCCCCAGCACAAGGAGTGGGATTGTTGGTAATCAACGATTACTAGATAAACGATGCATGGGATCGATTATGTCCGTCTTTGGAACTTGATTTGTTGATGCCAAATGACTTTAAAAATGCATGAAACGTCGTAGTGTTAACTTGGGACCTTGAGAGATTTTTCAGAAAAGATCAAACTTTGACGATTTTTTGCCACTCCAAATCCTGTCCAATTGAGCACACATTTTGCAGACCCTTTCGAGGCAATGAACATTTTACATATGATTGGTTTGAAAATTCCAAAGATTCCCGTCGAAGCCATTTATGGAGACGTGTTCCAGGTGATTGGAAATTACTCTAAAGTTAAGTTTAGATAAAATTTAAAACATTGTACATCAAGGGCCGAATCCCACTCACAAAGTCCTAAAATGACTGTAATTACTCTAGTTCTGGGGAGTAGCTCAAACACCCCTCTGAACTTGTCCCCAAAGCGCCTTCAAAGTCTACCGGATCTGCTCCAGTCGTCCTGAAGTTTAAACCTGCAATCGTAATCAACATGGGAGCGAATTTTCGCCAATCATTTTCCCTCGCATGCTCAGCCTTGACTCGACGCCCTCGAGTCAAACAATCAAATACCTAGCATCAGCCACGTTATTAATTCATCCGCATGGCGAATGAGAACAACCCAAATTTGAGTATAGCTTACTCATAAATCACATAAAGTACATGAACTCAACGATGAGTAAATTTGCCTCATGCTATTTCAGGTCTGTCCAGGAACAAATTCCCGAATATGACAAAAGTAAAGATTGGATGCACTCACTCTATTAGTACTACTCCTAGACTGAATATAATGTTCGTCAGTTTTCTTCATTTTCCGGCAGATTTTTTAAGGTTTCTCAGAGAAAAACATGAGGTAAATTCACTCATCGCTGAGTTCCTGCACTTCTGGCGATTATGAGTAAACTAAACTCAAATTTGGGTCATTCTCATTCGCCGTGTCCACCCTTTCACAACTACATGGGGAAAATTCCTAAAGATCATTATAAATAAATAGTAATTGCCGTGTAACACAGCTGATTCACTCACCTGTAGAAAAACTGCCCGATCGCGATGGACACGTGGTAGGAAAGCCGGCCCAAACAGCTAAGCTGATGCTGACCGGCCGGCGGCTTGCCATCATCAACCGTTGCTCCCTCCGTCGCCGATCCACGCCGGTTGGATCCATTGCTCAACGTCGTCGTCGTCGTCGCCGCCGTCGTTGTGCCGGTTGAAATTATGGTTGCGGCTTTTTTGCCCCGGCTACCGTCCGTCAGTGGAACGGTGGCTTCGGTCGGTGGCATTATTGCGCTTTCCTTCGTCAAAGTTTGAAATTTCCCAATTTTGAACACTCACTTTTTGTTTGCTATCTAAAGATTCCAATCGAAATTTTACTATCACCGGAACCATTGGGTTGAATTCCGTTGCTACACGGCCAATGAGAGTAACTCATTATGAGGAATATGAGGAAAATCGGGAGATATTTCACATTTTTCCTGGAAAAGTGAGGAAAATTTTACTCACTTACTGAGAAAACTTTTCGCAATTTTGAGTTGAATTCGATTCAGTTACTGAGTTACTCTCATCGGCCGTGTAGACGGTGACGCTGTGGCCAGTAGCCGACGTCAATTCCGTTCATGAAGAGTGACGGCAAATGCGTGTACGATGGGTGTTTCCGCGTAATGAGTTTAGATAATTCAAATTTGCCGGCTTCCACTTGACAGAATTGCTGTCTATTTCACTTTCACTTCGATACCGGTCACGGTGCGAAGAGGTTACGGATAAATTGGTTTTTGACGGGGTTATGGTTGTCCATTTATTGGCTTCTTTCAACAATTTTGCATGGATGATTCACGAAGGATGTAAATGTATAAGCGACTGACCGATTGACACCTGAGTTTTGTCTGCTCATTCGTTTTAAGCGGCCGGTTGAGTCCAGAGTGAAGCTGCCATTTTTTTGCGCTAGTAAAAGAGGGCTGTTGAGTTGGATTCGGTACTTGGGATGGGTGAGTGACGCGTGTTCATCGTTGTCGATAATGTATTGCTTCGTTTTTTGGGGTTGTTTGATGATTCACATCGGGTGGAAATCAAGAGTTATTCTTAATAAAGTATTTGTCATTCACATCTGGGTTCACAGGTGACAATATTAGTTTTATCATAATCTTCGAGACCAGCGGTTCTCAAACTTTTTCCGATTGCGACCCAATTTTAGAAATTTCATAAGCTCGCGATCCACCAATATTGAATGCATATGTTGTAAGGTCAACATTATTTTAAAAACTTCAAAATGGTTTTAAAACGCAAGACTGCATGATTGCCAAAACACAAAAAACGAATGACATTAAAATGGCCAAAATAGCCACTAAAAAAATACAAAACAAGTTAACATAACTAAGGACTGTTCACTTTATAAAACGGACACACATTTTAGGTCACAACTTTTTTGTTTGTCTACTTAGCAGGATACTTTCTGCGGTAAGTATTTGTAAGCAACATAGCAAAATGTATGAACAATACATTTGAAGTGACATGTTTGCTCTAAAATGCCATTAACCACGTTTTTCGTACTGATATAGATACAGCTTCTTCTTCTTCTTCGCATTTCAAGCTTATTGCATATCGCATATTAGCTTATTGCGTGCTCTCAACTTAGTGTTCTAGATGCACTTCCACAGTTATTAATTGAGAGCTTTCGAAGCCTGTACCATTTTTGCATTGGTATAATTGTGTGGCAAGTCCAATCATACTTCTATGCCCAGGGAAGCCGTGAAATTTTCCAACCCGAAAAATTCCTAGACCGGACCGGGAATCGAACCCAGCCACCTCCAGCATGGTCTTGCTTTGTAGCTGCGTCTTTACCGACTGAGCTAAGGGAGGCCCCTACAGCTGGAACACGTGAATTTTTAATTTATGTAGAGCTTGAATTGAATATGCAAATTGGTAACACATTAGGTAAGACAAAGTTCGATATGACTGGTCGTTGTTCGACACACAAATTAACACATTTTGTTCTAATTTAGTGATCTGGCAAGTTCGAAGGATAAGAACTTTAGCTCAAATGCTTCTACATATGTGAAAGATTGATTTGGAGCTCGATTCGGAATAAGTGTCACTTTTAAAAATGGTCATAACGATTGAACGCTTGCATGATTTTTTTATATCAGTATATTCTAGATCTACATACACATATAACCTTCAACTTAGCACTCCACTTTTGGAGTCTTGGCGATGCGTCTAAGCTCTGATATTGAAAATTCGCCAAATTTGAGTCAACCAATTTTTGACCGTTCTACCCTTTAAAATGCATTGAAATGAAAATCATACAGATAGTTAAATGGATTGAACGTATCCAAACATTACGATATGTCAGCAATATCAAAAAATAGGTGGACCAAGATAACTTTAGCAACTAGAACATATAGCGGAGGTTAAAATCAAGAGGAAAAAGGCCTAACATATTATTTCAAATCAAAGGTTGCAGAACTTATTTTTAGAAAGGACCACAAACTATCGACGGAGGACATCACGATTTTATGAACCGTATCTACACCATGGAAATTGGATGTTGCAGAGAGCCTCGAGATCAACAAACAACAGAATTCAACTTTACTCACCACACCAGGGATCAGGAAACGGATACACATGACTTTTTAAGTTACTACCTAGTAGACATAAAAGAGTAAGCAATGAAGTACCTGTTTCTACAGGAGACTAGATTTAAGTTTAACTAGCTTCTAAGTGAAAATGTACCTAGGTTAATGTGTATTCGGTAAAATGTGATGTTTTCTTTAGTGGAGTAATAGTACAAGACACTGAAGAAGTCTGCAAATTGTAGACGAAATAAGCGTATCTGTCTAGGATAAGCAAATCAGGTAGTGGAATTAAATGGAAATTACTAATCCTTCTCTCTATCTTTATACAGGTATTCCAGTGACTTTAGTGACTTTCAGTTGAAAATAGTGACTTTTAAGTGACCAAGTCACACAAAACTAACCAACATCCAGCTCTGGACCATTTTGAGGCTTTTCAAACGGTTTTGATTTTTTAAAGCTATATTGGCGATTTTAAGAGCCATTTTGGCAATTTTAAGGCCAATCAAGTATTTTAATGCCATTTTTGCCTTCTAACTGACGTTGGGGTCGTTTATAGGGTTGTCATTACTGGACCGTTTTTGCGAGTTCAGTACCGGTAATATCGGTAAATTACCGGCACCATAGGATTTTAAGATAATAGATAGAACCGATGAATACAAATTTAAAAAAAAAAATCATTTAGGGGAAACGCTCCTATAGTTGCGGTACGTTAGAAACGTTAGGTTCCTATAGTTGTGTATGGAGTCTCCATACACAACTATAGGAACCTAACGTTTCTAACGTACCGCAACTATAGGAGCGTTTACCCTATTTATTTAAGACCTGGTGTAGTGGATAGCATCCATGCTCTATGTGTCCTCCATTTTCTTGGATGCAGTACCTAAACCTCCTTCCGGTTTTTTCCACAAGGTTAATATTATTCATCTTCTCTTGTATCTTTCGAGCAGCAAGACAAATTCGGTCAACTAGCTGTTCGCGCGCGTTTTGTTTGTCACCGAATATACCTCTTCCTTTATGCACCCCCATAAAAATAAGTCCTTGGGAGTCAAATCCGGACTCCATGGGGGCCAAGCAATCGGCCCATTCCACCCGATCCACGGTTCCCGATAGTTGGCGTTCAGAAAATGTCTTACCGCATTTGTGGAATGAGGAGAGGCTCCGTCTTGTTGAAACACCACGCGCCGTCTCACAACAAGTGGGACATCCTCCAGCAGGATTGGAAGATCGTTTTCTAGAAATTCCAAATACTTCGCGTTGTTTAGCGAACCTTCGATAATGTACGGCCGATGAGCTGTCGGTCAATTATACCGGCCCATACATTAACGGAAAACCGGTACTGTGTTCTTGTTTCTTTGACCACTCTTGGGTTTTCAATTGCTCACGTGTGCACAGCAAAAAAATAATGTTGATATCACGTCAAAGTGGATGCACTACAATCAACAATCAATACGAAACTAACGATTTTAAATTGGCTCACCACTTTAGTAGCCTATTGGTCCCAAGCAAACGATTAACGTACCCTATTCTAGTTGAAATTCTATTACTACACTATGTTTGTTTTGATTCACTATGAAAGTTTGACAGATAACATCAGGGGTGTGTGGATTCATGCAGAACATGCAGGGGTGAGTGAAATAGCTTGGGACTGCTTGGGACCGTTGTTCTGGTACTGAGTGAGCCAAAAATAATAATGATTTTCTTCGGGACCCAGTGGTCTTAGAGTTACCTCTATGCTACAATCAACAATCAATATGAAACTATCGATTTGAAATTGGCGCACTACTTGACTAGCCTATTGGTCCCAAGCAAATAGATTAACGTACCCCATTCTAGTCAAAATTCTAGTACAACACTATGTTTGTTTTGATTCGCTATGAAAGTTTGACAGATAAAATGAGGGGTTATTGGAATTTTCTATGTTTCGAGGGGTGAATCGATTAGCTTGGGACCGAAGATAGTACCAGAGCTGAGCCAAAAAGTAGAGCCCGTTTCTTCGGGACCTACTAGTCTTAGAGTTACCTCTATGCTACAATCATGTCGAAAATATGGTGTAATATTACTTGCTAAAAAGGACAAAATTATCATTAATACAATGCAAGAACTAACATTACGCTGCTTTTACTGCATTTGTTTATTTATGTGGTCATAAAAATTACATGAAATTTTCGACATGATTGTAGCAACAATCAATACGAAACTAACGATTTTAAATTGGCTCACCACTTTAGTAACCTATTGGTCCCAAGCAAACGATTAACGTACCCTATTCTAGTTGAAATTCTATTACTACACTATGTTTGTTTTGATTCGCTCTGAAAGTTTGACAGATAACATCAGGGCTTAAATTGGCTCACCACTTTAGTAGCCTATTGGTCCCAAGCAAACGATTAACGTACCCTATTCTAGTTGAAATTCTATTACTACACTATGTTTGTTTTGATTCACTATGAAAGTTTGACAGATAACATCAGGGGTGTGTGGATTCATGCAGAACATGCAGGGGTGAGTGAAATAGCTTGGGACTGCTTGGGACCGTTGTTCTGGTACTGAGTGAGCCAAAAATAATAATGATTTTCTTCGGGACCCAGTGGTCTTAGAGTTACCTCTATGATTGTAGTGCATCCACTTTGATGTGATATCAAAATTATTTTTTTGCTGTGTGGTCATTGTGGGTATTGAAGTATCTTGCACGGGTAACGGTGCACTCATCCGTCCAAATAATGCTTTTCAAGAACAATGCATCCTCAGAGATGAATATCCACCAGCTCTTCTGGAGA